GATGCTGCTTGGCCTGCTGTGTTCATCCAGCTCTACACCTTGTTATCCCTGACATTTTCTAGCCAGTTTTCCAGGTCCAGTCAATCCTCTTTTGAGTTCTTCTAACTATACTGTATGAAGAGATTCAAACATGTCAATAGCCCTGATTAACTCTTCCAGGAATAAAAATGCACAATAGTTTTAATACCCCTTCCCCCAGCAAAATACTGGCCCGCACAGAACTGCTGAAGCAGGCCAAATGAGCCCTAAATTCCCACTGGAATGTACAGTTAGTCTGACACAGACACTGACAACACAGCGGGTTAATCGTCTCCATTATATATGGAAACTGACAATGGTAAAACAAAGTAGAACATCAAACAGTTAAAGCATTTAATATTTACAGTTTGTTAAGAAGTAGTACAGAAACTGTGCCTGATTAGTTAACAGTCAACATGAACATCACTTAGAAATTTGTGAGTTTGTAATTTCAGTCTGTGAATAACAGGAGTTGCTATCTTCAGTTTCGGAATGCTAATGTTAAGGTGAAACCTTTATTGATGGCCGTTTTTAAAGAAGGTGCTTCTTTTTTTTCCGAGTACATTCAATACTTTATCATTGTGTATAGGTAATAAAATTGACAATTAATATTGCAACTGCATACTCATTGTTCCAGTGTTTCTCAGATAGAATGAAAACAGCTAATATGGCCGGCTTCTTTTGCCATAGCTATGATGAATACCAGAGATGAGTCTCTCAATTCATAAAAAAATCCCATCAAAAGATCTGCAGTTTACAAGGTTTACTTAGCTCCCATTTCCTATCAATTAAGTTACTTTCAGGGAAAAAAAGTGGAAAATGACAAATAATAGAAGCCAATGAGAGGGTGAGTCTGATGCACGAGAAACCTACTGACCTTCTTTGGATGCTTAGTATGGACTCAATGGGCCAAATGGCCTGCTTCCACAAGGTAGGGATTCTATGATTCTACTTAGCAGCCTCGTGTTCCTGCCACAGAGAATTCTGGGAAGAAAATCCAGTGCAATTTCATGACACAACGTCATCAAGACAGATGGCTGTTTTTAAGCCCACCTCCCACCAGACTGGAGCCACAAAGACTCTTTTTGACCAATCTAAAGACTTAATTTTGAAAATGGGACAACCTGGCTCACTGATACTGAGGTGAGCCAATGCGTAACAATTGAATACTCAATTTGTTCCATTCACCTTCACCTGAATAGTGCTCAAAACTGAGAGATGTGGCTAATGTTCCCTTTTCTTTACTCAAGCAAATTGAAACCAATTACGCCTTCATCATGACCCTGGCTCAATTAATAGAATAGTAACTGCCCTTGCAATCTTCTTGGTTCAGCGCAATTAACCATGCAGCCACCAAAACACTTTTAATGTGACACAATTTTTCAGTCTCACCAACATAGACTGATAAGCCTCTACTTTTTCTGCACACTATTGGATGATGCCTCTTTTCCCAAGGGTTATTAAAACGTGCGTCAGTTAATCCCTTTAATTGGGCCTTATATACAATTTCAAGTTTGCTTGTTAAAAGTTGTTTGCTACAATTGGACGAGGTTGAGCAAGCAGTGACAACAAAATCCAAAATTAAAAAGAGGTATGGATGCCATAATAGTTAGTGTCCTGTATATAAACTGATGTTTTTCAAATAGAATTGGCTACCAGCAAAAAATGGGTCAATCTCTGATATGTGCTGCAATTAACTACTTTGCATTATAAGAAGAGATCAACATGCCAGAAATCCTAAGGAAACTAACACTGAATCATTGCCAGGGGACTCAACAAAATTAATGTAAGCAAAATAACAGCATTGTCGAAAATAATGATACAAGAGTGATAATTGCCCAGGACCAAATGGTTTCAATTGTAAGATTCTAAAATAGGTAGGTGATGTCATTGCAAGCGCAGTATAACACACTTCCAAAGTTTCCTTGATCCGAGAACAGTTCCTTTAGATTAGAAAACTGTGCAGGTCACTCTATCAGAGTAGTACCAGGAAACTACTAACCAGTTAGTCCAATATTTGTTGTCAGTGACTACCTGGAGGCTATAAGCCTGTGATAACAGAACACTGAAAACCTTTAGCTAATCAGAGACAGCCTTTGTATATTTGTAAAGTATAGGTCACTCCTGAGCTGACTGATTTATTTCAAGAGGTGACAAAAGGACAGATGAATATCTGTGGATGTTATTTATCTAGGAGGCATCTGATAAACTACTTTATGAAAGACTGCTTGCTAAAGTTGAAATGAATTAAACTGAAGGTGAATTATTCATCTGTTCAAGAAATTGGCTGAGACAATAGAGATGATGGACAGGTACTCTGGTTGGCAAGATGTGATTACTGACATTGCACAAGGATCTGCAATGGGACTTCCAACTACTCACAGGACTTATTAATAACCTAGTAGATGAAATAGAAAGCTACACATCTAAGTTTGAAAAGACTCAAAGATAGATAGCAATACAAGCAGTACAAATGGAAGAGTGAATTTACATATATATTGCTAGAAAAAGTGAAAAGATAAAACTGTTCCAAATGGATTATAGTGCAGGTAAGCAAGAGTTCACATTAAATCTAAAAATGAAAGAAAATGTACTTTCCAATTGAGGAAAAGCTTGAAACTGCGGTGGTCCCAAGAGAGTTGGGGTCCCGGTACATAGGTCATTAAAATTCATGAACAGCTGCAGAAAATAATCAAAACAGCTAATGGAATGTTGGCCTTTATGACCAAAAGATCAGGACTACAAGATGGTTGGAGGCATACTTTGGTACAACATACTTCTGGCTAAACAACACCTGCAGTACTATGAGTATTTCTTGATACCTCGCCTTAAGAAGAATTTACTGGCTTTAGAGAGAATGCAATCTAAATCTACCAGAATTATACATGGTCTCCAAGAAGTAAAGTACTAGATGGGATGAGATGGTTAAAGTTTTCAAAATACTATGGAGAACAATTAGGCTAGATCGAAATAAACTACTGGGTGGCATGGTGGCTCAGTGGTTAGCACTGCAGCCTCACAACGCAGGGTTCCATTCCAGCCTCAGGCGACTGTCTGTGTGGAGTTTGCACATTCTCCCTGTGTCTGCGTGGGTTTCCTCCCACAGTCTGAAGATGTTCAGGTTACGTAGATTGGCCATGCTAAACTGCCCTTAGCTTCCAGATATGTGCAGGCTAGATCAATTAGCTACCGGAAATGCAGAGTTACAGGGGCAGGGCAGGGGGGTGAGTTGCTCTTTGGAGGGTCAGTGTGGACTTGAATGGCCTGCTTCCACACTGTAGGGATTCTATGGCTCTATTTTATGATACTTCTTCTGGCTGATGAGTCTAGGGCCAAGGGTATATTCCAAGGATTCAAGTCTGAACATTTACAGTGGAAGTTGGAATCATTTCTACATGGAAAGGGAAATATAAATTTGGAGATCTCTCCGACAAATGGCAATTGGTGCTAGATCAATTGTAAATTTTAAGACTGAAATAGAGATTCTTTTTGTTACCAAAGCTTTTATGGGATGGGGCAAAGGGGGTAGTGAATAGTGAAACGGGTTTCAGGGCTAAACAGTCCATTTGCGTTCCTAAGTTCTTACAGATCCTAAGTTCAGAAAGTCTATTGAGAGAATTACCTCCTTTCTGAGCGCAGAATCCTGTGCACATTAAAACAAGGGCATTTCCAGGTCCTGACCCATGCATTGGGCACTTGGAGGCAGCCAATTATAGTCCCTATGGCAGGTTCCTGAGGCTACAGGCACAATTAGAGGGCCTACAACTATAAGAATAGCATGATTGACACAGTAAGGCCTGCAATCTTTAGTTTCTCTCTCCCTAAAGAGCAACTTACTTTCGCTGGAAGCAAAATCCCTCCACAACATGGCCCGCTGCCACAGCTGTTACCCTCTTTGGCTACGGCTCTCACTGGGAAGGGGACCTCTCTGGGCCACCAAGCCAGCTGCTAACAAGCTACCTCCGCCTGGCAGGCTTGTTCCTCAGTGGGGAACATGTCTGCTGTTCCCAGTCAACCTACAAATATGAACCTAATTATGCAAATTTGATCCATGGTGTTGAGTGCATAGCTTCTGCAAATGGTAAGCCACCATTGGGAGATCGCCAAGAGGTGGAAATATGTTGGCTTTCTGACCCAACATTAATATTTTTGACTTTCCTCTTGACTCCACCTTAAGGTCCAGCCCACACCATGCCGCCTTTGGGACCCTGAAAATTGTCACCCTGTAAATACAGAATTGAGACACCTTCAAAAGAATTTGGGCTGTTCATATCTATCACTTTTCAATATGCTCAGTGATTTTGTGGTAATGACAAAGGTAAAATTACATTTTTGTCTATTATTTCAGTCAAAGGAAACATGTATCTTGAACCCGCTAATTACCAGCTCAGAAAGTGTTGCCAAATAAATGAAAGCTGCAGTTATTTTCTATTGAGAATAAGAGTATGTAGTTACAAGCCTTAGGTTAAATGCACCACTGATTGTTCGATAGTAACACAATACTTTATATAAAATTGCTCCTTATACTAACACTGTTAATCCATTTTTTTATCCCCAAAAATGTCAACACAACAGTTTAGGAGAACTGTTCAAAGCCATATAAAGTTTACACCTTAAGCAGATAACGTAGTTATGAGGGTGTTTGGCAATCAGGCGGATTTGTACAGAGGAATGTTTTACTCATCATTTGTGTAATCAAGACTACAGTGTCACAGGCAACATTACAAGATGCATAGCTTATGGCATTTTACATTCAATCAACCATTTTAAAAGAGGAATTTTTGCACATGCAACAACTGCACATTCCAGTTACACCTTTGGTCTTAACACTGGCCGTAAAGGATGCTTCAATTGACAGAACAGTTTGAAAAAAAAAGGACATAATTTAAAAAGCAGATGTAAATACCAAACTCCAACTGAACTACTTTGCAAAGGATAACCAACTATGAAATTTAGGACCAGTTAACACCAAAAAAAAAGATCTTAGTGGGTAAAGTAAGAGCTGCTTTAGAAGGAAAGATGGGGCAAAATGAAGTTAATGAAAATGACGGCAGCCTTGTTGGGCCAAAGTGCCATTTTCTGTTTCCAATATCTTATGCAGTTTAATGTGAAGGTGCTTAAAAATTTCAAATTGTTGTTAAATCAATTCACTGCAAAATTGCAATGTGTAGTTGTAGTGCACTTATGCCTCTTAAAATAACAGAAATGATACCATGCCTGTTCTCCTGAGATAAGTCTTTCTATTCCAAACATAAGAACATTGGTTATGGCTTGAAAAAGTTTCTGCCCAACATTCTCTGCCATTTAACAAACCTGTGAAAACAGCAATCCTGAGGTTTTTTTCCATTTATTTTCTAACAAGTAATGTTAGTCTACATTTTCGCAAAGACAGTGTCCTTTGGTACAAAACAAAAGCCAAGAACTTGAAAAACACTTGTACAAAAGTTTATAACATTTTACATAGTTCACTTTTTGTTTAAAAACTGTTGCCTGTGCCGCCTGTGGTAACTGCTGTTTGTGTTCCTCAGCACTAGGGAATCACCTGATGATGCTGGTAAATAGCTATTTGTTCAGAGAACATGCATCAAGTCACTTCTCAGCCAGACAGTTAGAAATCCTGTCTAACAGATGCAAGGTAAGTCTTTAGTGGGGAAAGTTGGCAAATCTCTACCTCACATACATATTGAATTAATTTGCTGCTTTTCAAGATGAAACATCAACTCATAGTGCAGAGACAAGGATAGTACTTAATTTGTAATAAAAAGTCGGTTTAATTGAAATACTTTTGAATAATTTTAAAATTTTGATAAATGCAAACTCTAATCCCAGATGTATGCGAACATATAGAAAATTTTCAGTGAACTTTAGCATTCAGTTTGAAATTTTAAAAGTATATCTAAGTTGGACATGGTAGTTTTTTAAGTGTTCTTTACTTTGATGTTGGAAGTGTAATACTGTCTAAAATGTTACTGATGTGAAATTCTTTCTACTTTTCTTAAAGGAAAAAATGATGAACAAAAGATTATTTGTTAAGATGTTGTGGTATGAGAGTGTAGGAAGAGGTCAGTGATATGAGAATAAACCCTGTACTGGGTAACATTGCAATGTTATATTAGTCGTTGGCATAGCTGGTGGTATCACAATGGAAGAGATCTGGTGATGTATAATGGTGGGAAAAGCAGCAACTGGATAGGAAGGGCTAAAATAGGGCTGGTGAAGTGTTAGAATTGATTAGTAAGGCTATATTATGGATTATTAGGGTAATTAGACCGGGTAATGAGAATGTGTTCTGAGGAAGGGTCACTGGAACCGAAACATTAACTCTTATTTCTTTCCACAGATGCTGCCAGACCTGTGGAGCTTTTCCAGAAATTTCTATTTGATGTAATGTAGGAATGAGAAGTTGACCGCACTGAATAATTATACTATTTAGGGAAAGCAGGAGATACTTGGGCGTGTGGGAAAGAGGGAAAAGTGAGTACTGTCGTAATGACATTGTTGTGATGGCATTAGGTTTAAAATGTTTGGATTCATTTTTACTTTGGCCAGAAAGGAGAATAACTCCTTATAATAAATATGCAAATTATTTTCATCATATAAAACATAAAGTCCACTTTATGACAGTAGTCTTGGACTATTATAAATTTGATCTTAGGGCATTGAGAATACAGACAATTTTCATTACTAATGGGCAGTCACTCGTAACATCTGAAAATTGGTTAAGAATAACACAATTGCTCAGATATTACTGGAAATTTCGGACGATATGAGACTTTTTGATGTCTTTCAATTTACTTTTAGAAGTAGTGCTATAGACACTCAATATTTTAGCATTTACTAAATTCCAAATGCACAATTTTTAAAAGATTGTAATTTAGTGAAACAAGCCTAAATTAGTTTGAAAACATCAAAAACAGAGGCATAGTTACCTGCTTCCCCTTCAAACTATTTAATATATATTTTCACTTAATATTATAGCTTATAGCAAGATATATATTAGAAAGGAACAGTTTAAGTTTTGAGAGAAAGAAGCAAATGGTTAAATCTTTCAGCTGTTAACGTGTAATTCTACGTAAGTGATGAGACCTGAGCTCCTATGGGAAACTAACATTTCCATTTCCTCCATAGCTCTGTATTCTCTATAAAACTGTAGGAATTTTTGCAACTTTAGCAGAATAGTACTGTGCATCATAAAATATCCTTTGGAACATAATGGAATTAAAAAATAATTAGATAAATTTATTAACAGAAGGCTAGTTCTGATTGGGTAGTCTGAACACATACCTATAACTCAAGTCAAATTTACTACTAAACAATCAACTGCATTCCCCAGAGAGCTTAAACTATCTTGCAGTAGGGGAATTAGAAATTTATGAGTCAATATTTATTCTATAAAAAACACCAAAAACTAAAGTCTCTACTCAAATAGCAGATTAACTGTGGAATCTGCTTCCACATAAAGATGGAGCAACTGAGGCGAATAGCACAGAAATACTTAGCAGGAAGCCAAATATGTAGATGGGGGATAAAGGAATAGAAGGATAAGAGGTAAGTTGGGAGGATGTTCATGTTCAGTTTAAACATTGGCATGGACCTGTTCAGTCAAATGGTCTGTTTCAATGCCATAAATTCTATGCGCTATTGTCTAAAAATGTTTCTTTTTGGCTAGTAAATAATTATTGATACATCTGCTGGACAAGAAAAATAAAGAATGGCTTTGGCTGATTTTAACATCCTGGAGAATGTAGCACCTTGTACTTCAGCACAAATAGCACAATGTGACTAGACATGATAAAATGCAGCAGCACCACTGGCTCAACACAGAATGAGAGCATTCCTGTAATATAGGAAAACAAATGCCTCTTGGGACAACCACAAAGGAAAACACGAGGCATGTTCACAATACATTCACAATATGCATTTTAACTACACAGACACACACACATTATTTATATATATATAATATATATAAAATAAAGAAAATGTAGGGATGTGCAAACATCCTGACAATTACTTTTTCCAAAAAAGTTCACCAAACTCTAGAATGTTTAATGAACTTCAGTACTATCTACTTTCTTATGTCCTTAAGTGCATCTTTCAGAAATATTGTCACATTTGGTTTAGCAGTGCAAACAAGGCTGCCAGAATTGACTACAACATGCATATTTAGGAAGTAATGATTCCAACATGTAATTACAAACAACGCCACAGTGCACAATCAACAATTTAAGGGCCTTAGCCCCCAAATTCTGTGAAATCCATGTTTTGTAATATATAACTTCTATACTTTGTTTTACAAAATATAATTCTTGAACAAATTGTACTTTTTTATTATTCCAAAACTTTTTCTTTTAAAAACGGGCACTAATGTTGATGGGAAATCATAGTGGTTAAAGGACAAGGAGCCGTACTAATAGTGTGTGGTCCAAAGCAACTTCACATTTAATTTGTCCTCTGCTGAGTAGGGCTGCTGGGTATTGGAAGCTGTATGTATACCAAACCACTTTTCAAAATAAAACACAGCCAACACCATTGTACCTTGTAAATGAAAAATGGTCTTACGAAAACAAGAATCCATGTTCTGAATGTTTCTATGTCAAGTCTCAAGTTTGAAATAACTATTTTTGTCAGGACTAACTTTTTTTCAGGACTATACAAATTAAGTTTATAAATTTCATGATTCAAAAAAACATTTAAAAATATCCTGCTTAGGGAATCAAATACATTGAAAAAGAAATCCTATCCATATCAAGACATCTCTCAATGAGGAGAATAAATCACACGCTAAGTAACTCAGCTGAGAATTTTCTTGGGAATGTTTTTAAGTGGGGTTTCTATCACAGACTCTGGGCCAAATGCTGGAAAATGGGATTGGAATAGTTAGGTGGTTTTTGTTTTTGACTGGCACAAACGCAATGAGCTGAAGGGCATTTTTCTGTGCTGTAGATCTCTGTGATTTAGGATGAAGTTAGGACAATGGAGGCAGTAGCTCCAGGGAAATACACGGTCAACACTACCTAACTGACGACATTATGTGTTCCTCCAAGACAGTGTCACTTTGTAGGTCAGCAATTCATCAATATAGGAAAGTATATCTATCAATTGGAGTTTCCAAAATTTCAGAACTTATTCAATTTTGTAAAATCTCTACTGTGTCCACAATAGCCAGGATATATAACCATTACAACCAATGCCTATAAGCAGAAAAATTACAAATGCCTATGGTCCTTGCAGTACTGATAAGCAAAACTGTAAAACTGAGGACATATAGAACCTATGTTTGAAGACATTGTGTAAAGAGTGAGGAATGCAGTTTACTTAAAACTGGAATGAGGTTTGCAGAAATACTTTTACACTGTTAATCAGAGATATTTAGGGATGGAAAACTTGGTCGGGTATGGTTAGCACAGTTGTGAAACACTAAAATGGAGAGGAGAGAATGTGGAAGACTCTCAGTGAGGGAAAAATTAATAATAGAAATACATATCAGGATAGAGAAAATATTTATGAAAGAAATGAAAAGTTTGAAAACAGGCAAGTGTAAAAATTAGTAAATTAATCAGTGCCAGTACGACAAATCAAAAGAATAACTCCAGACTTGTTAATACAAGGAGCAATTACTAAAGTTTCAATGTCATATATGAAATGAAATGTGAATAACACAGGTTTAACAAGATCTCTAGATTAAATCAATAGTTCAGATATTTCATGAGAATGAAATCTCACATGCTTAGAAGGTGTGCAGAAATGATGGAAAGCACTATCACAGATAGAAGGAAAATAGGTCTGATTTTGGTTAGTCCTATCACATTCTAAGGATTTCCTTTGCAGTTTATTTTCAACAATGCATGAAGTATGATCACAATAGTTCTTTAAGCTAAAAAGAGATTAGTTGCAAACATTGACTTTTGGACAGTGAGTCCATTTGAGTAGTAATCAGTGGCAAAAAGGGGTGAAATTTGTTTTGGAATTATTGTGGGTGACCGCAACATGGGTACAATGGAGTGTTGTTTATGTACACTTCTGCCTCTGCATTCCTTATTTCAAGCACATTAAGCTGAGAGGGATGTGAAGTGGTCTATCACTATTTTCTATTACTGCCAGTTTTCAAATATGGCCGAAATGAAATAAATGTACCAACTTAACACATGACAGACACATAGCTGATTCAGCCAGGAATAAAGAGCAATGGACTGGTGACAAGACCAATTAAATGAAAGTCCCGAGAGTGAGCCTCAATGATAGGTATAAGGTAAATAATCTTTTTGGGTCCCAACTTTCTTTTTAACATTTCCTTATGCAGCCATTTTATTTTTCTTTTTGGAAAAGAATCCCTGGCCTCCATTGTCCCTTATGCAGGATCTCAGTTAGATAATCACCATTGTTGATATTCTTTCTATCTTTTCTGGACATACACAGATTAGAAACTTTAAATGCAATCCAATTAATACGAGGTTAATACTGTCTTCCATACCATTTTAAGTTCACATTCAAATTTGAATTTGCTACAATAAATGCAGAGATGGTTTCAACGATTAGTCAGTAATGAATCCGAAACAGGCTTTCCCTGTATGCTTTTACTTTAAAGCATACATTTTAATCTTTTAGGAGACATACACACTACCGGCACCTCCACATCCTGTTATTTTAAAGCTATTTGCCCAATGTCCAAGTGTTTCAAAATTGTCAGAATAGCTGCTTCTGTGGTATGATTTGCTTTCACATAATCTCGTATGATCAGCTTGGGAAATTTTGCTCATGGCATTACGTCAGTTTACAAAGAAACCAGTTGAACTGCCTAGAATGTACTGTATTGATAGCTTTATTTAGCTGGAGATAATGAAACGTGGATTGTACAAAATTCAGTTCAGTCAGAGTCTGCTTTTAGCTGTTCTTTAAGCTAATTATCACATTATTTGGCTTGACAAAAGCTGTGAACACTTCTACACAATTAGTTTACTAATAGTGGATGGCATCATTTCTCTGACCAACTTTGTATCTCAAGGAATTGCTAACACTTTCAGGATAATTTTCACCAGCGCTGTCCTAGTAGTAATCTAATGGTTTACCATGCATTGTAGAATCTACCCGATTTTCATTCCATTGATTTCAGACGTGCTCCACAGTTAGTAGCCAATCCACTCTGACCATTTACTGCCTGGCTGGTAACAGTGAACAATAACCATTTCATTGACCTTACATTTAAGTGTAATGTCTGTTAGTTGAGCAACACAGAATTTCTAGCATCAGAACACTGAGGATGTGTTCCTGATTAACAATCTTTTTCATTATTGGAGTAAATTAATAAGGTTGTACAGAACTGCAGTCAAAAGGGCATTAAACAAAAAACACTGCTGTTCTTAACGTACCCCAGAGTTAATATTGAGCAAAACTGGCATCAGTTCAATTGCACTGTCTTCGTTCATAGATCCAGCTTAATGCACATCCCTAAAGAGCTCACTAGCACAAAGCGACATAGCTGTTTGTTACTCTTGTTTTTCTGAGAAACATAGATTCTTGCTGAGCCTGGCTTGTGCTCCATCGTGTCTTCTTCATGTTGCAAAACAATCAATTTTGCTTTCTTGGAAGTTCATCATGGGTTCGGACAGGAATAATTTCACTCTCTTTTCATGTGACCCTCACTTTCCACCTCCCTCAACGTTCATGAAAATAACATATGATTGAAATGTTGTCAACAGAACACAATATTCCCCTTAGTGCTGTAGTTTAGAAGTAAATGATAGTAAAAAGCTTAAAAATAGCTTATTCTGCTCAGAAGAACATTGAAATCACACCAAACAGATAAACCACAAGTGTTTCATTACAGAATTCCTTGTGTTGACACGTTGGTCACAAGTATCAGGTTTCCTGAGAAACCTCCAAGACTAAGGCTTAAAATTGGAACACAATATACTTCAATTCCCTGTCAGCTAATGTTTCAAACTGAACGTAGAAACATTTGCTTTGGAATTTCTTAAACATTCTGTTCCAGCTGCTCTTAGAAAGAGATTTCTTTGTAATACACTATTTATCACTGACATTGGAACCATCTGTTTGCTGCTTGGTTCCACACAGGATTCTTTTAAGTGCATCTTGTTGAATATAAGTGTTGTTGCTACACTTACAAATTTATTTAGAAAAAGTTAAGTGCTTCAAAATATTACATAATAGCTGCCCAAAGAATCTTCTTAAAGGCCCTTCATAATTTTTCTCTAATCAATAAACCTTTGGCAAGCTTTCTTCCAGCGGCAGGCAGTACACCACATATCTCGGTTTTCCATACCGTACACTTTCCGACACTTCTTTCCTTCCCCACGAGTTTTCCTAGGAGTGAAATAAACAAATTAAAATTGGACATTTTGATGGTCTAATGAATGTAAGTCATCTTTATGCACTTTTCAAAAGACAAATGGGTGAATGAATAACCACAAATGTAGTTATTGACTGGTTAATCAAGTCGAGTTCTGAGATCGCACATTTCAAAAATTCATGTCATGCCATCTAATTTGCAGAGCATTTATTAGCTCACTTAGTTGCTAGATGGCTAGTTTGCAATGGACAGCACCACCAACAATGTAGGTTCAAACCACACTGGCTGAGGTTAGCATTAAGGACTCTCTTTCTCAACCTCTGCTCTTGCCTGAGGTGTGGTGACACTCAGGTTAAACCAATACCAGTCGTCTCTCTATAATGAAAGAGCAACTCTATGGTCTGGCAAGGCTATGGTGATTTTTGCTTACTAACAGAAAACAAATCTGTTGCTCGTTTATCAATAAAAGAAGAAATTCATCTAATTTATAGAGTCATACAGCACAGAAACAGACTCTTCAGTCCAACTTGTCCATGCCAACCAAGTCTCCCAAACTAAACTAGTTCCATTTGCCTGTATTTGGCCCATATCTCTCTATGCCTTTCCTATTCATGTACCCATCCAAATATCTTTTAAATGTTGTAACTGTACCTGCATCTACCACTTCCTCTGGCAGTAAAATAGTTGTCCCTCCAGTCCTTTTTAAATCTTTCTCCTCTCACTTTAAAATTATGTGTCCAATTTAATAATATCTTTCCCGTATTAAGTTGGTGAAATTGGAATATATTTGTTTACTTCCATAGTATCAATCATTGCACTTCAAAAATGTGTCATGAGGTAAAGTATTCTGAGGTATTTGATACAATGGTGCATCAAATAAATACAAAATTATGAAAATATAAATTGTCCGAAAAAATAGTCTAACTGAACACATTGGCAATTCTATTAAGAAATGCATTTCTATTAAAAAAAAAATTCACATATTTGAAAACAGGTCACAATTTTAATTGTGTTAGCCTTACTTTTTTCATAAACAAATTTTATTACGTGTTAAGTCTCAGCCATAGCTGAAGTTTGGATCTTTAAAGGCCTGGATTTGAAGCAGGATCGAGTTAACTGTTTGTTGTTAGTGAGAAATAAGTACTGTACCTTGCTCCAACCACAGGTCTGGGTGGAGAGGAAAGTGAAGGAAGGGTCTGCTGGCGCTGGTCTCCAATTTCCACAGGATGGCTGTGGGTCGGTGAAACCTATCACACACGCAAACACAACATTTACATTAGCGCCAGATCTGCCCAATCAGCTATTCTACTTTTTGTTAGATAGAAAGCCTGTTAAATAAAATTAACATTGTCTGCATTACAAATATTTCATATTAAAAGTGATTAAGGACCACCAATTACATTTGGTTCCTGCTCCATGTAAATCACATGTCTTCACTTTCCACAAAACAGTGAACCAAACAAGAACTGGTTTCTTTATCTGTCCTTGAGGAAACCGAATTCGCTAGAACATTGTAAGAACTAAATCAAACTCAACAATTCTGTTGACGATCTAACCAGAATTCTGTGCTCCAGTTCCATGGGTTGGAATTTCGACACGTGCTATGGTTGGGAGACAGAGTCCATCTGGGGCCAAAAGTAGTGTGCCCCTTTCCCACGTTTCATCCCGTGTCCGAGCCATTTGTGGCAGAGATGGGGTTTGGGGCTGATGAGGCTCCTTCCTGTCTGCTGAGGGTATCTGACAAGGCTCATTAAGAGCCTAACTGAGGTCAGCGAGAGAAGGTCAACTAGAAACATCCAGCTTCCTTGTCCTCGTGGATGGCAGGCCAGTTTAGGTGCCTGGAGGTGGACAACTGGCAGAAGATCAGGAAACCAGTAAGCCTAGAAGCCGTCCCTGTCCCTAGAGGGATCCCTCCATTATCAGGATGGTGCCCTGACTGCTGAACCTGTATTTTAATTTTAATTTTTAAAAACCTGGAGACAGGATATGGTATGTTGCTCCTTTCAAGCTAGAAAGTTTACAAGTGGCTTTCTCAATTTCAAGCAGCTTTCTGCATTTCACTTAATTGAACAGTGAAGCTGCCTCGGCTACTAACAGGCTGCATGGGTAAAAACGTAAATGTGACCAGAATTGAATTGAATTGAATGAGATTTATTGTCACATGTACTCATATGAGTACAGTGAAAAGTTTACAAGTTGCCACTTACAGTGCCATCTTAGGTACAAAGGTACCTAGCTACAGCTTCCTTGGTAGCAAATTCTTATGGGGAAGAAAAATGGAAAATAAAGAAATAAAAAGTCCAGCATTACAGACCTTCAAAAGTATAAAATCATAATAATGAATTAGAAAAAATGAAGAGATAAGAAGTTCAGAATAACAATCCTTCCAATGATAAAGGAAAGAAATGTTTAAAAAGAGAGAATTTAAGACCAAGTCCACTTAGTCTATTTCGTGGCTCTGGGCTTGAGGATCCCAGCCCTCGTTGTAACTTCTGAAGCAGGTTCACTTAATCGTGGAAATAGAGCTCTTGTGGCACAATGGTAGTGTCCATACCCCTGAGCCAGGAGGCCTGAGTTCAAGTCGTACCAGCTCCAGAGAGGTGCCTTAACGTCTCTAAAAGAAGGATTAGGAACATATCTAGCCTCAGGAACCAATGCAGATTTCTGACTCTCGCTCTCAAAGGGGAAAGTCCAGCCCCATCGATCAGGATGTCAGTCAGCAGATATTACAACAGTAGAAAGAATCTGATTCTACTTTATGCTTTTTTGAAATCACATTTTAAAAATATTTTTAATGTTTCAGTAATCAGGATACTGAAATGTACGAAATAATGTTGATTAAACTGGAAAAGTATAAAGTTTTGTTTTAATGGAGTTCTGTTTTTCACACCACAGTTCAGTGAAACAATTTGTAACTGATTTTAAAGCCAAACATTCATTTTGATTTTCCAAGCATTTATAAGCAATATGTAAGTTATTGCAAATGTTAATGTCAACATGGTTGCTTCACAAAGTTCTTGCCCCTCACCATAGTTTAGACTGTCAGCTATGCAGTCCCCTTGGTAAAAGACAAATGGATTCCTATTTTACTGTCAGTCCCAGCTGCACTGCACCACAGCACTGAAGATGTGATGAGATTTATGGTTCATTTTATGATGTTAGCCCCTGTGAACTCCCATACCTCAGGCATAAAGGACAGGAAAATGAGACAGAGGCTATTACGTCAGGTCTGCAATTGCTTTGGGATAATGATGTGTTAATGAGTTAGAAGGGACAATCCCAGTTCCCCATCTAATTCCGACAGTTATAGATACTTATCACCTAGTTGCAGAATGCTGCCAATAACTGGTACAGCGTTAGCACTGGAAATCTGATCAGACTGAAGGCCCTGAGAGTTAGCAGATTTTAATAATAGTGAAGGATATGCTGAGCCATGAGGTTACAGATTGTGGCTGACTACAATTCTGCGGCTGGTGACCCACAGCATTTCATGCAGGCCTCTTTTGATCTGTTCTGAGTTTATCCCATTTAGCACAGTGATGATGCCACACAACATGATGGAAGGTATCCATTGTGTGAAGACAAGATCTTATTTTCACATGGACTTTGATGTCCATGTCTACCAACACTATCAAGGACTATAACATTGGCAACAGGTGTATTGGTGAGTACAAGGGCAGGTAGGCTTTTCTCTCTTGCTTGTTCTCTCACCACCTGCCTCAGCACCAGTCTAGCAGGTGTGTCTTTCAGGACTTGGCCAGATCATTTAGTCATACTATTACTGAGCCACCCAGGGCCAACCACAATACTTTGTGCCCTTTCTATGCTCAGTACTGCTTCAGCATGGATGAGTACTTATGAGCTGGGGTACGGTGAATGTTGGTAATCAGCAGGACCTTTCTTAGCCCATTTTAGATCTTATGACAGAAGGCTTCATGCATTCCGGAGTCAAGTTTCTGTGATCAGAAGCAAAGCAAAAGCAAAAGCTGAGATAACAAGGTGTAGAGATGGATGAACACAGCAGGCCAAGCAGCATCAGAGGAGCCGGAAGGCTGACGTTTCAGGCCTAGACCCTTCTTCAGAAAATCTGATTTCCTGTATGTAACTATTTATTACAAATGAGTAAACTCTAATCACAAGAAAATAGCTATGAACTTTAAGGCTCTACTGCTTAAAACCCTAACCCTGTTCTAAACTCCCTGCACACACATAAAGACAGAGAGACACAGACCACTGTAAAAAATATTGGTTTTCTGGGTGGATGGAAAAACACCTGGGAACCACAGTTCAATAGCACTGGGTAGCACAATTTGTTGGGATGAGCCTTTTGATTGTCAGGACCTTCTGTTATTCAATCTCTTTTCTCCATGTTCTGTTCACTTCTTTGCAGGAGACATAGGTATTGGTATACTAACTGCACAGTTCCTTAGCTTCTAATTAAAGACCATAATTTAAAGCAGTTAGAGGGAGGAAAGATATAGCTTTCTTCAGACTTCAGGTATTTTAATTGCAGAGAGAGACATCCGCCTTCTAGAGGTCTGATGGTTTCTGCTTGTACTGTTCACACCCACAAACAATCAGAGAGTTACCGTCAGGCCGATGACCTTTGATATCTACAACTGATCACAAAAACCAATCAGCCATTTGTTGCCGGCCACATCTCACTCTGAACACAATAAAACCCTAGTGCCATGCTGACTATTTACTCACTGCTTGAAAAATGTAAACATGACACTACAATGAGTTTCAGTAACTTTGTTTTTTAAAAGTACAGAAATTCCTTCCCCAATTCTTGGTTTGAAAACAGTCTCGTTTCTATTTTCATCCACAGTCAAAAATACAAAAAGAAAGTGGTCTTTACAGCACACTCAGCTTATCTGCTTTTTGACTTCTCAGTCCTGCCAAGATTGACAACAGTGTTTGATTGAGAGGCAGGGTGCAGTCTGCAAGCTCTAACTGACTAGGAGCACCTCTATATCAATCTGTGTAAACAGTGATGTAACCTCCAGGCAATAGCCTTTGTAGCAGTTTGATATTACTGAGTAGCTTGTTAGACGTTTTCTGATCTGAACCAGGTAAGGGCAGCAAATTTCCTTCCCTAAATGGCATTAACAAATGAGAGAGGTCTTTACAACAATTGAAAATGGTCCTTTGTCACCACTATTGAGATTAACTTTTAATGCCAGGTATTATCAATTGAATTTAAATTCCGATAGGTGCCACTTTGGGATCTGAACCCACGTCACTCAGCCTTTGGACTACTCATTCAGTGATATTACCACTATGCCACCAGCTCTCCCAAAATCAGGGGCTGAGGATATTGCAGTAAGTGACTCACCTTGCGATTCCCCATAAACTGTCCACCATCTCTACAAGCCAGGAGTATCCTAGAATACTCTCCAATTAAGGGATGAGTGCAGCTCCAACAACACTCAAAAAGCTCAACACCATCCAGAACAAAGGAATTAACCCCAACCACCAACATTCAATGTCTTCATCACTAACATACAGCAGCAATAGCATGTACCATCTCCAAGCGGCAGTGCAGCCACCTAACTTGGCTCTTTTGCCAGTGTACCTGAAACGCAAAACCACCCACAAGGACAAGGACAGCACATGTATGGGAACACCACCACCGCAAATTCCCCTCCAAGCCACATAACATCACAACTTGGAAATATATTGCCATTCCTTCACTATGACTGAGTCAGAATCCTGGAACTCCCTCCCCAACAGTAATGTGGGTTTACCTATCCACCATGGACTGCAGTGTTTCAAGAAGGCAATTCACCACCACCTTCTCAAGGTTAATTACAGATGGGCAATGAATATTGTCCCAGTCATTAATTGCCCACATACCACAAATATATTTATATATAACTAGTCCAAGTTTTCAGGCTGGCAGGTATCAGTGGAAGCATTAATATGTTCCACAAGTTTTGGATATGAGCACTAAGTTGTCTCCCCAGATGCGTTTAGTTACAGCCATCAATAGTGACAAATCTATCGCTGCTCACTGCTACTGGGGCAACATCGTCCAGGCCAATGTATTGGACCACTCCTTCCTGACTATATCACAACCTTTGGTAGGTCTTGTTCTGCTAGAGAAACAGGACATAACCAAGAATTGTGGAAACATTCGACCAGGTTGCAAGATGTTTCTCTGTTGTGTTGTCAATGGGAAGATGTTGATTAATGTACAACCATGTGAGCAAGAAAGACAAAGCTACAGCAACATGTGCCTCAA